AGGGTCGAATCGGTACGGCAGGTTGGCGTCTCGACCCTGGCGTTGGTTCCTGACACCGCGGGGATGGTTCAGTCTTGCACGATCGGTCCTCTCAAAGAGGCCGGATCGTTCAAGGATGGGTCGATTCTGGGGCACAGGCGGCGTTCAACCTTAACGCCCGCGCTGGGGTCGCCGCCGGTGGAAGACACGACGCGAACCTGCCATATACAGATACATCAATTCGAATCGGAATGTGCATCGGATCGGGCTGCATCGGCGCGGAATCGGAATCGAATGGGATCGGCTGCGCCAGGATGCACAACGGTGCCATTCTCAGCGGCCCCCTGACGGGGACTCCAATGACGGGCACTTTGGCCAACGACCCGGCGCACTCAACCCTCCCCGACGTGGGCAACGCTACATTGCCGGAGCCAGAACCTGAAGTGGCAACTTTCGGCACCTTTCCAAAGTACCCTCTGGTGAGGACCCATTACGGTGCCGCTGACATGCAAGCCCCGTGCCGCACCAGACCGCCGAAATCTCGGAACCGAATCGGCACGGGCTGGCCAGAGTCGACCTCGAACCGCATCGATCGGGGCGAACTGGACCCTGCGGCGGCGGGGAGGCCCGTCGACAGGATGGAGGCGGAACAGAAGCAGGAGCAAGAAAAAGCGACGCCAACACCACCAGCGACCACCAGCGGGAGGAGCCCGGGAGGGGTCCCCTGGTGGCGCGGCCCCCCCCCTCACGCTCGACACACCCACTCTCCCCAGCTCGGGGGGGGCATCGCGGACCTCCTCGCTGGAGCGCGGTCCCCCCCTCGCGCTCGACACACCCCCTCTCCCCAGCTCGGGGGGGGGGGGCGTCGCGGACCTCCTCGCTGGGGGTAGCCCCCTGGTGGCGTTGGTGGCACTTCCCAGAACCCCTCCCCCCCACACTTGCAATTGGTCGGACGTCCATGCCCCGTGCGTTGTTTGGTTTCGCGCGTGCTTCATGTTGACAAATGATCCAGGATCGGCAGCGGGCGAGGGGGGGAACGAGAAGGAGAAGGCCTTCTCAGAAGGCGGCGGGACTGCTCAAAAACCTTCGCGCCTTCCGAGACATGTTCTGCGCCTTCGGGGAAGGGTCGGAAACAGGAGGCCTGGGAACTTCCGATCCGGGGAACTTCCGAACCTTCCGAGAAGGCCCGCCCCTTCTCATGTCCCCCCCGGGCTCGCCGCCGATTGGAGGCTCCTCGATGGTCCTCACCGAGAGAACGCCAGCTTTCCAGCGGCCGCTCCTTTGCAAGGAGCTGCGACCCGCCATCTCGGAGGGCCTCCGGCCCGCCCTGGCCCCACAGGGCCCACGGCCTCTCACGGTTTGCCCTGGACAGCTGCGCGACAGCGACGGCAACAATAACAGCAAGCAAGCAAGCAAGCAAGCAAGCAAACAAGCAAGCAAACAAGCAAGGAACAACAGCAATTGCTGTTGTTGTTGTTCTTGAGAACAGCAACACCAACACCACCACCAACACCACCACCACCACCAACAACAACACCAACACCAACTCCAACACCAACGACACCAACAACACCAACAACAAAAACATCAACCACAACACCACCAGCACCACTCACGACACCACCACCAACAACAAAATCAACAACGCCGACAGCACCAGCAGCCAGCACAACACCAGCAAGCAACAGCAGCAGGCAACATCACCATACATCAACACAACATCAGCAAACAACCGCATCAACAACAACAGCAACAGCAACAGCAACAGCATCAACATCAACAGCAACCGCAACGACAACGACAACGACAACGACAACAACAATCATTAGACGACTGTTCGCTCTGACTTGCCCGCGTGTCATTCAAAATGAGCCCCCACACCCTCGATGCCCGCCCTTTTTGTCTTCGAACACACCCCCTTTGGGATTGTTTTTCTCTTTGCGGGGGGCGGCGGGCTTAGACAAGCGGGCAAACCTGAACTGGCGGACAATCATTCGTGGGCGTACATGTGCCCGCCATCGGAATTGGTGTGGGCCCTGCAAAAGAGGAGGGGGAGAACCAAGGAGAGTGGGAGGAAGGGAGGGGGAGGACGAAGGAACAGGGACAACGCCAGGAGAGAAGGAGCGGAGAGGGGGGCGGTTGACTAGAGGCAGAGAGAGAGAGAGAGAGAGAGAGAGAGACAGGAGAAAAAAAACAGATAAGAGAGGTAGAGAAAGAGAGAGAAAGAGAGGGGGGATAGAGAAAGAAAGAGGGAGGGAGGAGGCAGGAGACGGGAGGGAGAAGGGAGGAGGGAGAGGAGGGAGAGGAGGGAGAGGAGGGAGAGGGCAGAGAGGCATACGGATGAGGGAAGAGAGGAGGGAGAGAGAAGGGAGGAGAGGAAGAAGGAGGGAGGAGGGAGAGGGAGGAGGAGCAGGAAGGTAAGAGCGTGAACGTTCGAGGAAGTCCTAGGCGAAAGCGCCGTTCCTGGAGGAAGTCTCGGCCGGGAGCCCACGACGGGCGGACGATCCCCTGACGGGCGAGTCGGGCGGGTGCGACATTCAAGCGGGATGCCTGAGTATGGCGAGAGTGCGATTACTGAGTAATTGCAACGACGTCCTTGGCGCAGCGTGTTTCCTGAGCGTCGAAAGCGCAATTTCTGAATACATTGCATGGAAGTCACAAGCGAGAGCGCAATTCCTGAATAACATGTGAAGGGTTCTCTGGCGGGAGCGGGGGTCTTGATTCAATTGCGAGGAAATCTTGATTCAATTGCGGAGAAAACTCAAGAGGGAGCGCCGTTCCTGAGTAAATTGTGAGGAAGTCTCAGATGGGAGCGGGGGTCCTGAGTAATTTGCGAGGAAGTCACAGGCGGGAGCACCGATCCTGAGTAAATTGTGGAGAAGTCTTAGGAGCGGGGGTCCTGAGTAAATTTGGACGAAGTCTCAGGCGGGAGTCGTTGTTGTTGTAATCCAGGGGGCCAGGGGCCCAGTTTGAGCACCAAGATTTCCCCTGTTAAAAAAACAGGGTGCGAGCGTCGCGGGCGCACTTTGATTGAGAAGAAACAGTATGCACAGGTGAGGGGGGATCAACAATAATTATTCTTAAGAAATGAGAGTTCAACAACATCAACAACACCAACAACAACGCCAACAACAACGCCAACAACAACGCCAACAACAACAACAACAACAACAACAACAACAACAACAACGACGACAACACCGACGACACCAACAACAACAACAACGACAGCAGCAGCAGCAGCAGCAACATCCTCAACAACAAACACAACAACATCACCAACAACAACTACAACTACAACTACAACAACAACAACTGTCGGAGGCTCGCGCCGCGGGGCCGTGGACCCCGCCTGCTCCGGCCCCGTTCGCGAGGCCTGGAGAGGTGTGGCACGAAAGGACTGCACATGAGCGAAAAAAGGACGTACGCGTACATGAATTCACGTTGGTTTCGAGTGCGCATTGCGCGAACGTTCGTATCACGCGGCCGGTCTCGCAGGTTGGGGGGCCGAGCTCATGTACGTTGTTGGGCGCGTACGTCCTTTGTGTGCTTCCTGAATGCGGGGCCCTGTTCAGAGGCCTCCTAGCTGGGGTCGGAGTAGACGGGGTCGGAGGATCGCGCCGCATCGCCGATGCATCGACGATGCATCGGGGATGTACCCACGACGCATCGGCGACGTCGACGTCAAGCAAATCTGGCTTCACATCGAGCCGCATCGGCGATGCATCGGCGATGCGGTGCGATCCTCCGAGCCCATCTTCTCCGACCCCATCTGGGCCTGGACTGGTAGAGGAAGGACCCGACCCTGGGGTCTTTGTCGAAGACTGGCTGCTCATCCAGAGCCGCTTTTGTCGCGGGTCCCAGGGCTCGGAAAGAGCCCGGGCGGCCAAAACTGGTCAGGACCCCCAGGAGTCAACTACTCCAGGACCAGTCTGCTCATGTTGAGAGACAGACAGGGCCTTAGGAGGCAACCCCTTGAAGGTCTTCGCAAGAACGATGAAAGGCTACCCGACTAAAGAGACCTTCAACCAAATCAGATTGACCCCAAAGGCAAGCTGGACGAAACGGAATCTGGCGGAATGGCCTAAACAAGATTATGCCGAAATAGGCCGACCACGGATATACCGGCGCTGGTGTTGAAACTGCAAGGACCGACCACAACGATATTTAAAACGCGTTGGCATTTAGAACGAACAACGCGTTTAACCCGACTGTTGTATAACGAACGTTTAGAACCGAAGCCGGTCCAAACGAGAACGAACAACGAAACGATATCACCGATTGCAAAAACACCGAAACAAAAAACAAAACGGACTTCGCGTCCAAGGAATTGCATCCGAAAGGGGGGAAGACAGAGAGGAAGCTCGGCAACCAGGAGGGCACGGAGCGTCGCGCGCGCACACCCGGAGAGGGGTGGCGCGCTCTCAGGGCGGGAAGCGGTCTTCGGCCTCCTCCCTCCCTGAAGGGGCCCGGGGAGACACACAGGAACGGACACGCACACACACGCACACACACGCACGCACACACACGCACACACACACACTTACACACACACACACTTACACACACTTACACACACTTACACACACTTACACACTTACACACTTACACACACACACTTACACACACACACACACACACGCACACACACACACACACACGCACACACTTACACTTACACTTACACACACACGCACACACACACACACACACATCCCAGGGGTCCCAACCTGCCCATGCTTGCTCGATGATCGTCTTCCCACCCACTTCCCAGTTGGGCGCGCATTCGTGGGGGGCGATAAATGAGAGGGGGGAGAAAGGTGCCCTTTTCAGGCCTCGGAGGCCCCTTCTGGGCCCAAAAGGGCTCCCTCTGGGGCCCAGAAAAGGGCTCCTTTCCGGCAGCCCTCGCTGCCCACCCCTTTTTTCGATCGCCCCACCGTGATAATTCGCACCCCACCCCGTACCTTCCCCCTTTCTCGCCATCGCTCGGACGTCCATTCCCCGTGCATGTTTCGATTCCGTGCGCGCATGTTGCGCTAAATGATCAGAGATGTTCCTCGATGGTCCTCGCCGAGAAAAAAAATGCACACGGCCGAGCGACGCCACGCTTTTTCCCCTGGGGATCGAAGCCTGCCTGTGTCTGTGCCTCTCGCTCTCCCTCCCAAGGGAGGGGAGGGGAGGGGAGGGGAGGGGGGGGGGAGGGGAGGGGGGGGAGGGGAGGGGGGGAGGGAGGGAGGGAGGGAGGGAGGGAGGGGAGGGAGGGAGGAGGAGGAAGGGCGACCTGGGCGCGCTCTCCGCGGCCTGCCCCCTTCCGCAGCCCGGGCGGGGCGGCCCCGCGCACGCGCGGCCGCCCCCGACGGCGGAGCGCGCGCCAGCGCCGCCCGGTGCGGCGACGGAGCGCGCCGGCCTCTCCTCCTCCTCCTCCTCCTCCTCCTCTTCCTCTTTCTCCTCCTCCTCTCCTCCTCCTCCTCCTCCTCCTCCTCCTCCTCCTCCTCCTCCCCGGGCGGATCGGGGGTTCACAGGGGGAGGGTCATCCCAAGGGGGGGGGCTGGGGAGCGGGCCCAGCTGGATGCTCCCGTGTCACGCGGTTCTTTCTTCCTGGGGCCGTTCGGAGCGATGTTCCTTCGAGCCCCACCTCTGGTCCAACCCCACCTCTGTGCCCCCCCGATCGGAGGGCGCCACGTATACACCTACACCGATCCTGGCCAGTACTACGAAGCCAGAACGAGGATGACATCGGGCACGGATAGATCAAGAATCTCTCAGATCCTGCCGATCTGGGGGATGCATCGGGCGCCACGGCCCTCTCGGAGCGCGTTGCCGAACGCTCCAGAACGGACCTATCCTCGTCCTAGGCCCGTCCGAGCCAGGCCGATCCTGGGCCCAGGATCGGTGTATACACCCTCCTGCTTTGGCCAGGAATGCATATACACCGATACCGGGGCCAGGATGGGCCTGGCCAGGATCGGCGTCAGTGCATAGTTTGCGCCCTCCGACAGGTACAGTCGAACCTAGGACACAAGAGCATCCTTCAGGAGCACGAGACCCTCCGCTGGCCTAAGCCAAAGAATCTTCGAGGGTACCCTCCCTCAGGATGCACAAGTACAACAGGCACGAATAACAATAAGGTACCCTCCCCGAACCGACCTCGATCTTAACCTCGGTCCGACTGTATGGAAACGGGCCGTGGCTAACCCACGCGCCTGACAGTCAAAACTGTAGTGAAGATGCATATTAAGGATGGATGCCAATTGGGAACCCGTGCTGGAGCTTCTTCGAGCGCGGCGGGGCATCCAAAGCTGTCAAGGACCAAAGAGGCACGAATGCAAGGGTACCCTTGAGAAGGTTACCAATCCTTACCATCGGCTTCGGCTGCAATCCATGTCCGCGCTTCCTTGAATCAAAGCCTCCTTCATCTGCCTGCTCGCCCTCCCATTCTCCCTCACCCCCTCCTCTGTCTTCACCACCTCCACGTCCTTCTCCTCATCCTCCTTTCCCCTCCACTTCCCCCCCCTTCGAAGTCACAGCGGGCGCCTGCGCAGCACTCCTCCTTGTCTCCTTGAGGTCGGCCTCAACCTGCAACCGCTCTTTCCTCTCGGCTTCCTCGCGTCAGATGGGGCAGAGATTCGGGAAACCAAAATGCACTGATACCGATACTCCTTGGACCTCCCCAGGGGTGCATTCTGACCAGGATCTCGAGGCGAATCCAGCGGCGGCGACGAGGGCGTCCCAGGAGGCCCCCAAAAGGGAGAAACCGAGGCGAGGGTGGCGGTATGGGTACAGTCGGACCTAAGACAGAAGAACATCCACCAAGAACACCAGACCCTCCACCGGCCAAAACCCACAGAACGTCCAAGAGTGCCCTCCCCCAGGATGCTTAAGAGCTTCCAACGCGCCCGAAACATTCAAAGTATCTTCCCCGTGCCGACCTCGATCTTAGACCTCGGTCCGACCGTGCCTTCTCGGGAATTGAGCAAGGACCGAGCGTCCTGGCAATCCCATAGGCCTACCACGACGTGTTCTTAGAACCCAGCGATGTTGTCATAACAAAAACGATGGTCTCAGAGCATGAGCCCGATGTGCTAAAACAAGACCGTCTCAGCCAGGCATGTTCCAAGAATCTGCCGTGCAAACCACATAAGGTTATGAGAACATCCCTTGGCGGAATATACTGTGGAGGCCAGTCCACAAGAAACCTTCCACAAGAAACCCACCCCTGAGACCCTAGGACGTCCATTGTTTCTTGGTGTGGGAACGTCGCGCTCTCCATCGCAAAACCATCGAAACCCAAGAAACCCAGGGAACCCTGGAGGCAAGCAGGGTTTTCTTGGCATGGGCCCCCACTGTATATTAGGAGATCGAAAGACGACATGTACATACAAACTCGGAGGTCCGCGCGGATTTCTCGGATCGGCGCTGGGGCTTCCTGGCGGCAACTCTGGCTCCGCCCCTGGCGCGCGCCTCAGGGAGGGGGTCCAGCGCGGATCCGAGAAATCCTCGCGGGCCTCCGAATTGTTATGTTCGTGCCACTCTTCGCCCCCCCCACATATATATATATATATATATATATATATATATGTATAAATATACATCCGCCATCCCCCTTGTGGGGCCACCAGGCTGTAGGCCTAAGGTTCGCAGTTTTCTGTACCAGTTGCAACTTCCAATTTCCACTGTTACAATTATGTGTCTTGCTGCTTACTGCTCCTTATTACAATTCTGCTTATTGCTGCTCACTGTTCCGTGTTGATGGACCGCGCGAGGGGGGAGGCCCAACACAGGCATGTTTACCACGCCCTGAGCGTGTGCTCTGAATTGCTGTGGTGGGTAAAAATTGACGCCCCTTACGCAAATCGGTCCAAAAACACATAGGATTTGCCACATGTCTGAGAATCAGCGGCACCCCTCACGCAGATCGGGGGGGTCAGGGTCCAACCGCAGATGGGATGTGCCACAGTTCTGACATTCGGTGGTACCCCTCACGCAGATCGGCGGGGTCAGGGGCCTCCAACCACACAAGGGATTTACCGCATTTCTGACATTCGGTGGGACCCCTCACACAGGTCGGCGGGGTCAGGGTCGAAAACCATACGGGATTTGCGGCATTTCTTAAATTCGGTGGCACCCCTCATGCAGATCGGCGGGGTCAGGGTCCAAAAACACAAGGGATTCGCGATGTTTCTAACATTCGGTGGCACCCCTCACGCAGATTGGCGGGGTCAGGGTCCAACAGCATATGAATGTATCACATTTCTGAAATTCGGTGGCACCCCTCGCGCAGATCGGCAGGGTCAGGGTCAAAAAAACAAAAGATTTGCCACATTTCTGAAATTCGGCGGCACCCCTCAAGCAGATCGGCAAGGTCAGGGTCCAATAACACATGAGATTTGCCACATTTCTGAAAATCGGCGGCAACCCGTGATGCAGATCCGTAGGGTCAGGGTCCAAAAACACAAAGGATTTGCCACATGTCTGACATTCGGCGTGATGCAGATCCGTAGGGTCAAAGTCGAAAAACAAATAGGTCCCGACACCGCTTCACGGCGGCGCCCAGACCTCAGGATTTAGCTTTTGCATCTCTCAGTATCCGAGACAGGGGGTCGGCGGCATGGGGCGAAGCCCTTACGGATATATACATATATAAATACATATATATATATATATATGTATGTATATGTGTGTGTATAGAGGCAAGACAGGGCGCTTCGCCACTGCTTCAGGGAGGGGGACGAAGCAGCAGGCGGACGGGGACGAGCGCGCGGGAAGAGAGATGCAGCACCTCTCTCTTCCCGCGCGCTCGTCAACCGTCCGCGCTCAGAACAAGAGCGAACAGCACAACGGAAGCACAACACATAACAGAGCGAAAACCAAAACGATGGCCAGAACGACACAAACAAGAGGACATACAAGACGGAAGACAGAACGAGGGCCAGATGAGGAGGAGGAGGAGGAGGAGGAGGAGGAGGAGGAGCAGGAGGACGGGTCGCCTAAGCCCTTCGGAGAAGCCCTCCACCATTGAGTCGAGGGGGTTCCCCTTCCCTTTGATCCACTCCCCGCGGAGGGGAGGGGGACATAATGACATCCTTCAAGAACACCATCGGGTCGAAGGGAAGCCCCTTCCCGTGGATCCCTTCCCCGCGGAGGGGAGGGGGGCATAATCACATCCTTCGAGAATCACCATTGCGTCGAAATGGAAGCCCCTTCCCTTTGATCCCTTACCCGCGCAGGGGAGGGGGACAAACTAACATTCCTAAAGTACATCATGGAGCCGAAGGAATTTCCGTCGAGGGCCGAGGCCTCCAGGGTCGGCGGCACCGGCCGTGAGGCCTTAGCGATAACATCCTGCAAGAGCATGAGACCATCCGCCAGCCCAAACACACAGAACACCCCAGGGTGCCCTCCCTCAGGATGTACAACCGCATCCAACAAACACCTCTTGCGTCGGCGGCGAGGCAGGGGTCGTCTGCGCTAGCGGAAAGGCCTACAAGGAGGCACCGTTAGAGCGGATTGTGACGCATCTAACAAACACGAAGAACGCTAGGATACCCTCACCGAACCGACCTCGATGTTGTACCTCGGTCCATCTGCAGCCCTCGGAGCTCAAACCTAGGCCTCCGACGACATGTGCTCCTCAACAGAGGCCTTCTAGATAGGGTCCGAGTAGATGGGGCCGAAGGATCGCGCCGCATCACCAATCCATCGCCGATATATATATATATATATATATATGTATATATATATATAAAAATATATCGGCGATGCATCGGCGACGTCGGTGATGCATCGGCAACGCCAGCGTGGAGAAACACGGGATCCACGTCGAGCCGCATCGTTGATGCGGCGCGATCCTGTGGACGAGTCGCCAACTGGCAGTAGGCTCCAACTGGGAGTAGGCTCCAATTGGCAGCAGGCTTCAGCTGGGAGTAGGCTTCACCTGGCGGGAGCTGGAGCCTATTCAACTGAGAGTAGGCTCCAACTGGGAGTAAGCTCCAACTGGCAGTAGGCTCCAACTGGGAGTAAGCTCCAACTGGCAGTAGGCTCCAACTGGGAGTAGGGTTATGTTGTCCCCATCGTACTTAAAGACCACATCCCAGAAATAATTTCGAGCACCCGGAAGAGTGCCTAGCCAATATCGAACAGGTGTCTCTCAAGGCCCGACACGTGAAAACCCTAGAGTGTTGATACTCTCTTGGCGCTCGAAATTATCTCTGGTGGTTCAGGCTATAAGAATAGGCTTCAATTCGCGGGGAGTTAAAGCCCACTCCGCTGGGGAGTAGGCTCCAACTGGCAGTAGGCTCCAACTGGCGGGGAGTTACAGCCTACTCGACTGGGAGTAGGCTCCAAGTGGCAGTCGGCTCCAACTGGGAGTAGGCTCCAACTGGCGGGGAGTTGGAGCCTACTCAACTGGAAGTAGGCTCCAACTGATCAGTAAGTTCCAACTGTTGGGGACACAATGACGAATCGGCGGGAGAGAGGGCCGCCTTTCAGAGCTCTTGGGGGCCTGGGTCGGCGCTGGCTTAATGGGGGGGTCATAAATGGGGGGTCAGAAACGGTCCCTTTTCGTGCCCCTTTTGGGACCCTGGGGAGCCCCAGGGGGCTCGTTGAGGTACCGTTTGAGTACCTTTTCAGACCACCCTCGCCACCCCCCCATTTATGACCCCCCCATCACGCAACGCCCAAGGGCCAGCCAATGATGTCCCCGGATGCGTTCCGACCAATTCTGGCCCTTAACCCTAAACCCGACCAGCCATAACTGGGGGAGCTGTGGTCCTTACCCCCCTGGGGGAACCCATCGCGTCGACGATCTCTCGAAAGGGGTGTAGAAATCGATGGGTCCCCAACTTGCCGTCGCTCGGACATCCATTTGCAGCGCATGTTTTGGTTTCGTGCGTGTTATTTTAGCTCGATGATCCTGGATGTTCCTCAATGGTCCTCGCCGAAAAAATACACACGTCCGGGCGATGCCAGGCCCAGGGGGCTGAGGACCACATCTCACCCAATTGGGCTGGCCTGGGCCAGCTGATGGTGTCCCCGGGTGCGCTCCGACCAGGCTTTCGGCGCGGATCAGGCCGTGGCGACGAGACGGCCCCCCGGGAGGCCACGATCAGGCCCCAAACCGCCAAAATCTTCAATCCTCTTCCAAGAGGACAAGGAGGAGGAGGAGGAGGAGGAGGAGGAGGAGGAGGAGGAGGAAGAGGAGGAGGAGGAGGAGAAGGGAGGAGGAGGAGGAGGAGGAGGGGGAGGAGGAGGAGGAGAAGGAGGAGGGAGGGAGGGAGGGAGGGAGGGAGGAGGAGAGGGAGGGGGGAGGAGGAGGGAGGTCTATGCGTCTTTCCATCCACATGCGTCATGCCCCATATCTCGGAGAAGGTCTGAGAGAGGAGCAGGAAGAGGACAGACGCCAAAATCCCGAGGATTCAAGTCCGCTCAAAGAAAACAAAAAAAGTGGAGGAGGTCGGGAGGACGAGGAGGAGGAGGAGGAGGAGGAGGAGGAGGAGGAGGAGGAGGAGGAGGAGGAGAGGAGGAGGAGGAGGAGGAGGAGGAGGAGGAGGAGGAGGAGGGGGAGGCGAAGGCGGAGGAGGAGGAGGAGGAGGAGGAGGAAGGAGGAGGGGGAGGAGGAAGGAGGAGGCGCAGGAGGTGGAGGCGGAGGAGGAAGGAGGAAGATGGAAGGAGGAGGAGGGAGGAGAAGGCCGTCCTTCTCCTCGCTGCTGCTCGAGAGGCCACCCTGCAGCCTCGACAGCGCCTCGCACGCGGTGTCCCTCGAGGCCTCGGCCTGGTGGAAGCGCTCCTCGGCCCGCGCGGCACGGGAAGGAGTCGACTGCGCGCAGGACCAGAACCTCCTGGCGCCGTGGAGAAAACAAATCAGTGCGTTTTGTTTTTGTGTGTGTGTTCATCTCTGGGGGCCCTTCCCAGGGCCCCCAGACTCTTCAGACAGCTGCTTGAGACGAGTGGCATCGGTTACGAGTCGAAGAGCCTCCAAGGGTCCATGTCGCCTACGAATCACAACACGGCGGGGCCGTCAAAAAAACAAAGCCAGGGGTCTGGGCAAGCAGTATGTGATCTTCGGTGTACGGCTCCTGGCGGCGCGTAAAGAGGAAGGCCCGAGGGGGGGGGTCTAAGAATGCAGGAGGGCTTCCGAGAAGGCCCCAGCCTTCTGAGAAGCCCGCACACTCGCCACAAGGGACACACAAGGACATGCACTATAAGACTCCTCGGCGCGCGCTTCGCCCCTGGGAGGGCACCGCACACATAGCATGAGTATTTCGGGGTGACACCGCCACAAGCAGCCCCGCGTGGATCTTGGCGGCGCGAAGTTCTCCAAACGTGCGCCTCTGGGGCGTTCAGTAGGGAGGTTCGCAAATCGTGGCAAGAAACACGTTCGCAGCACAGAGGGGGGGGCAACATGACTGGTTTTTGAAAAAGAAAGCGGTCCATGAACCTCGGGGGATAGATCATGGCCCGAGCCAGGATATCCAGCCCCCACAATCATCCACCCCCCTCTCTTGGCAGCCCCCGACGGAGCCGCACAACACGTTACCAACGTCGCCGTCTGCTGGGTTCGGGCCGCGCCGCGTCTGTTGTTGTGGCCTGCCCGATCGCCCGCGAGCCCCTGGATCAAGGTCACAAGGCAGAACATGGCTGTGAATAGCGATGATGATGCTGATGATGATGCTGATGATGGTGATGGTGATGCTGCTGGTAATGATGATGCTGATGATGCCGATGATGATGATCCAAATAGTTATGATGATGGTGCTGGTGGTGATGATGCTGATGATGCTGACGATAGAAATGGTGATGATGATGATGATGGTTACGATATTGATGATGATGATGCTGCTGCTGATGATGCTGATGCTGATGATGATGCTGATGCTGATGATGCTGATCATGTAACGCTCCTGAATGCGGTTCCGTGGACCCAGACTGGACAACAAAGCGCCAGATATTACGAGGCTGACCGATCTCGACCGCCACACTCCTGGAGAAGTTTACTGGCCAGATCATGTATGAGGAAGGGCAAGAATGGGGAAGGGAGGAGAACGGGGAGCTGTGGAGGAGGGCAGGAATGAGGAAGGGAGCACAAGTGGGAAAGGAAGCAGAAGTGGGAGGACGGAGGGAAACGATAGGAGCGAGGGACAGGCGGAGGTGCAGGGAGAAGAAAGGGCACGCCAAACAGAGAAAACGGAGGAGGGCAACAGGATAGAGAGATACAGCAATTTCACGTCGCGATGGGGTCGGCGTTGGTTCCTCGCAAAGCGTGGACCGTTCAACCGTGAGCATGTCGTTGCTTTCCGATTGCAGTGCAGATGAGATGATCGATCGTTCAACATCGGCCGATTCTAGGCAATCGGCAACGTTCAAACCTGAACGCCCCCGCTGGCGTCGCCGCCGCCCCGTCGCGACGCGGACCGAACAGCGACGCCGAAGCCAACACACCACGCGGCACCTACGGGCGGTCCTCGATCTCCCGCTTGCTCTCCGTCAGCTCGGTCACCGCAGCTTCTCTCTGGAGGATGTCCTCTTGCGCCAGGGCCCTCGTCCCTGCCTCCCCCGCCACCGCTCTTTCGTCGTCGTCCTCCTCGTCCTCCTCCTCCTCCTGTCCCACGTTGGTCAACTGCTACCACGTGGAAACCTCTTCCCACCAGTTGGAAAGCTGGCGATTGTCAAGATGAAACGAGAACGCACTTCTTCACGTTCCCCCTTCCTTTCCTTGTCCCGCATGAATTCGATAACCGCTGTGTGTACGGCAAATGCGTGTCGTGGCGACCCCTGCGGAGCAGAATGTTCAATCTTGAACGATCGGCGGCTGTTCAACCGTCAGATCCTTGCATGTTGGCCGATTCTGGCCACAAACAGCGCTCAGAATTACACTCCCGCTCTGGGGTCTCCTCCGCGTCGACGCGACCTGAACCTGTCGTGCTCTCTGGGAGCCCACTTTACAAGGGCAATCGCGGGCGTGGGAAAGAACGGATGGGCCTGTTTTCCACCACCACCACCACCAGAAGTTGGAGGGGGAGGGAGTCCGCCTCGTCCTCCTCCTCCTCCTCCTCGTCCTCCTACTCGTCCTCGTCCTCATCCTCCTTCCCTCCTCCAACTTATGGTGGTGGTGGTGGTGCAAAACAGGCCCCTCACACCATGTTGCGCACGATCCTTGTGAACACTGGCCGCAAGCGCGCCACATGTGGCCGCAAGCGACCACTCTTTCAACGGCCGGCTCTTCACAATGGCCACTGGCCACGGCATGATGAGAACACAATGCCCACTGAACGATTGCGCTGTTTGCTGTCAAGGCTGCTGTCTCCTGCAAAACCGCGCCTGCTTCGCGTGTGATGCGCGGGAAACTTGTGCCATCGTCAATCCTCCTCCTCCTCCTCCTCCTCCTCCTCCTCCTCCTCCTGCTCCTTTCCTCCTCCTCCTCATCCTCCTCCTCCTCTTCCTCCTCTTCCCCTCCGCCACTCGCCGCAACTGCCTCGTCCTCTCCTCCAACTGACCTGTCCCCTCCTCCTGCTTCTGTCCCCCCCGCCCCTTCTACAACCGGACTTGCATGGACAGGACACCCGAGAGGACACGAGACTCTTCCGACGGCAGCGTGGCCCCAGAACACCACAGGACATGCATAAGTCGGGATAGACAGGACACAAAGGTCGGGGGCGCGCAAACTCCCCAAAATGCGGCCGGTGCCGCCTCGTTCGGCGGGGGGGATCCGCGATTTCCCCTGGAAACGGGATCCGTCGCTAATCCACGCCCCCTTGATCCATGGTTGCGATTGCCTGAAAGGGTACCCTCGATCTGGCATGGTCAGCCTACCAATCAGGGCCGACTGCATTCTCTGCCTCCTTCCGCCCCTCCCTTCAGCTGCACCCTGGGCGCCTGGCGAGAGACACTTTCACAGTGGGTCGACACCTCTCGTTGGACGAGAGAACGACAGCACCTGCAGAGAGAACGTGCGAGAGAACGACGGCACCTGGATAGATGGCGCTCCTTGGACAGAGGGCGCGCGAGAGAACGACGAGCACCTGCAGAGAGACGCTCCTTAGACAGAGGGCGCGCGAGAGAACGATGACACCTGCAGTCTGATGCCGCGCGCCACGCAAGCGGAAGAGGACAAATGGGCCGCCCCAGGAAGTGCGGCAGACACACGTGGGACCTGCAAGAGCCCAAGCGGCAAACGGACACACCCTCACGCACTGTAAGTCGGCGGTGCAGACTCCGCAGGCGCCAGCAGCAGATGGGGGTGCTGATTGCAACTGGGCGTTGTCGACAGCGCGGCGCACAGCAGAACAACCGCAGCATGCAAGCGATGGGTGTGAAAGGGGAACCGCAGGTCCAAGCGAACGTGCAGCGGCTGGAAAACGAGGAGATAACTCGACTCAGTCAGCCAAAGCGCGGGAACCGACGACAAACTGCGGCTACTGAATCGGACACTCACGCACACACACACACACACGCACACACACACACGCACGCACGCACACACACGCACACACACACGCACACGCACACGCACGCACACACACACGCACACACACACGCACACACACACACACGCACACACACACACATCCAGCTACTGATCGGCGATTGCATCGCCGACAAGCTTCCGATAGCGAGCCCAAGCGTGCCCGGGCCGCGCGGGACAGCCGGCCCCGTCGGCGATCGCTATGCGCTCGGGCGTCGACGAGTCCCCACCTGAGCCCCCCCCCCCTTAATGACAGTCATAAACCCTACCGAGAGGATCGGGTACCGCCCCAGGGGCGGCACTGGCAAAAAGGACCATCTTTCGTACATGATACATTAGCAACAACATGCAAGTTGCTACGTCAGCACTCTAAGAATCGCAATCCACGGTGATCACGGATGACAGAGAGGAGGGCATGAGGTTGGGTACTTCGCCAGGCAACTCGTTTTGTCTTCTGTGGGCAACGCAGGTACAACGTACGCGCGACGAAGCACGTCGCACTTCCGCACGATCTTCGAATCTATGTTCGTGACCGTTTGGGCGTTTGGGCTGGGCGCGAGGACTCCTCAATGACGGGGTTGGCTCGCGGTGGGGGTAGAATATTGAATCATCGTGCATTGCGATTTTCAAAACGAATTCGACGTCGGTGTTTACCTCCATCGACGTCGTCGTCGTCGTCGTTCTCATCCTCATCCTCATCATTTTTCCTCCTCCGAGGTCCGTGATCCTTCATGGGGGCGGTCGAGATCGACCGCGCCCCTCACATGTCCATCCACCACTACCGTCCCTCGACGGTCCGACGCGCCAAACGCGCACCGACGAGCGTGCGCGGCGAGCCGATACCGTCCCTCGACGGTCCGATGCGCCAAACGCGCACCGACGAACGTGCGCGGCGAGCCGAGCATAGAAACCGAACGAATTCAGAACACGTCGATTTCGATCTCTCTCTCTCTCTCTCTCTCTCTCTCTCTCTCCCTCTCTTTTTGTGTTTTCTCTCTCTCTCTATTTCTCCCTGTGTCTCTCTTTATCCCTTTTCCCTCTTTCGGTTTTTGGTTAGATCTCTCTCTCTCTCTATTTCTCCCTCTCTTTGTTAATTATATATGTTTGTTTTTTTGTTGTACTCTCTCTCTCTCTCTCTCTCTCTCTCTCTCTCTCTCTCTCTCTCTCTCCCCCCATCACTTTTCCCTCGTGTTTGGTCTCTCTCTCTCTCTCTCTCTCTCTCTCTCTCTTTCTCTCTCTCTCCCTCTCTCTCTCTATCTCTCTCTCTGTTTCTCTCCCCATGCCCCTATCATCATATCTCTTTCTCGTGTTATCTCTCTCTCTCTGCAGGGTCGGCGGTCGTCCTCGCCAGCCCCGAGCAGGCTGCGCATGCAGCATAAATAAAAGAAGCTCTTCGGGCCCCGCGGAGGCAGGGGCGGAAGGGGGGAGGCGGGATAGAGGGGAAGGTAGGTGGAGGGCGAGAGGAGGAAAGGGAAGGGATGGGGAAGGTGAAGGAGGGTAAACAGGGATAACAGGAGTCAGCCGAATATCACCATCACTTTGAGCACACTTGAAACGTGCCCTTCTCGCGCCGATCCTTCCACATGCTGTTCACGAGTTTCAAATACCTCTGTAAAACTCGCAGTGATATGGTGTTCCTGTTGCACCCTTTTCCTACGGCGGCCATGATGCCCATCAAATCCTCATCCGCGAAACAATGGCGAAAACGAGGGTTCACTCGATTCGATAAGTCATCCACGTGGTGGGATAAATAATGGCATTTGGGTCGTATTTTCCATTGGTGTTTTTTTTCTCTCGCGCAGCCTCGTCGGCCAGCCACTGCAAAGAACTAAGAAACATATTTCCAGCGTGTTGGGCTCCCTGGATTTCGTCATCAGTTAGCCATCTCCCAGCATTGACAAATCATAATATATATATATATATATATATATATATATCATTTCTGCAAGCGCCCATGCATTTGAAGCCCTCACTTGTGAGTGTTCCGTCCCCGTGTCTTTCTCGTAAGCAACGTCGGCGGCGTACGAGATCAGCACCTGGGGCGTTGCGAGGGGGAATCAGATTCGCTCCTCCCCCTCCTCCTCCTCCGACTCCTCCTTCTCTTTTTTGTCCCCCTATCCTTCTTCTCCTCCTCCTCCTCCTCCTCCTCCTCCTCCTCCTCCTCCTCCTCCTCCTCCTCCTCCTCCCCCCCCCCTCCTCGCCCTCTTCGCATGGGGGCGGGGCGCGGTTTTTGCTGCACAGCTGCCAGCTGCGCCTTGATAGAAGCAGCTTTGAAGCTTGAAGACAGGCTCGGGTAGTTCGACTTGTCTGCCCTGCCACACGTAATTGCTGACAAGGAAACTGCAGGTGCCGACACGCCCTTCTCTTTGCACCACACTTTCTTGAAATGGTAAGACATGGCCTTGTACTGGTCGCACTCATTCAAGCCTGGCCAGAAGAGCCCACCTTCGCACAACTCGACTAGAACCGAGGCCACGCAATCTCTCGCGAGACCGAGGTGCACATCGTGCATCCAACCCATAAGACAGTTTGATAAATGAAAGCCTGGCACCATCACATATGGGGATAATGTGTCTTCAATTTGCAAGAATTCATCGTGTGAAATCTGAGTATCTCGCCAGGGTGCATTCGCAGAGAAATCAGCGTATGTCAAGCGCTGCGGTGATTTAGGAAAGGGCTGAACTGCGAAACATCGCTCGCAACAGAATGTCGAATTATAGTTCCTACAAAATCTGTGGACCTCCACTCGGGCTTTCCGATCTCCTTTTATCCCGCAGTATACTGCAGCATATCCGCCTGCAATCTCTTTGTTCCGGAGCCCATGCCGGACAGATTTAATGTCAAAAGTCTCTCCTTGAAATCCTCTCTCTGGATAGCGACCCGTTGCCCACACTTTCTGAACCCACGCTGTGAATTCGGCAATTTTCGCAATCACGCCCAATCGAGTTGATTTTTCTGTCATCATATAATACGGTATAACCAGCATCGGGAATTTAGTGTCCCACGTGTTTCCAGTGCCCGAGACAAGATCGCTGCTCCATGACCAAATCCAATACTCTGAATCCCTGAAGATTTCAGCGCCGTCTACATGGTAGAGAATTGGCAACGTCTTTGACAGGTCGCACGTAGGTAATATAGGGTGTGCGCGCGCCCATTCAAGCTTGAGCGCACTGTCCCACCAAGCCGTGATATCTTCCGCCCCCAAAAGAGACACATGTTGTTGTAAAGGCCCTTGTTTCCATATGGCGCCACACATCTCGAAAGGAATGAGCACGGGGGCATTCGTGGGTTCAACTGCCAGGTCCTTCTCAAGATCAAGTGTGAGCATGTATACCTCAACGCCCCCATGATTTTCAGACCCCAACCACTGGTGTAGATCCCTCTCTTGATTATTTGGATATTTTCCACAGCAACCGAGGGGCGCCCATGCATGTACTGCCTCTGATTGTGCCCCATCCAAAACAGCTGCTCTCGCATATTCGCAAACATCCGAAATCCGAGATCTCTGGTTTCTCAATCTACCAATTATAGCGTGCACGATGTTGGACTCGTCCATGTCCTGCAGGCGCGGCCTTCTCGCTGGCCTCTGGGGATCGCAAAAAGCCACGCGCGGGGGCGGGGTGGGCGAGCGGGGCGGAGGAAACAGGAGGAGGAGGAGGAGGAGGAGGAGGAGGGGCAGGAGGGGGGAAGGGGCACAAGGAGCACAGCAAGGCGGAGGAGGACTGCAAGGAGGAGGAGGAGGAGGAGGAGGAGGAGGAGGAGTGAGTTGAACCCATCCTTCTCTCAACTGCGGGTCTGGATGGGCTGGGTTGCGTTGGAAGCTTCTCGCCGCCGCGGCTGGATTGCTCGAAATTCTAATCGGACCGCGCCCTTGGAGTGGTCTGGGTGCCTGGGGTGGCCAACGGCCGGCAGGTGCCCTCCTCCTCCTCCTCCTCTCCTTTTCCCTCCCCTCCTCTCTCTCTCGTCCTCCTCCTCCTCCTCCTCCTCCTCCTCCTCCTCATCTTCGCCCCTCGTCCCTTCCTACTCCGCTTTCGCCCCACCTTCCTCATTTTTCTTTTGTCCCGAAATTCGGAAGCACGCAAGATTGGGCATAACGGAGGCCTTCCGTTATCCTCCATCAGTTCGCGCTTCGGCCTGCATGTAGGCGTCAGCGTCGGCGGTGACTCTGTCGCCGTACCTGTGGCGCGGGGGTCATTAGGGGGTCGGTCCTCCCTCGTTCGCCACTCCCCGCCCTCTTCACTCGATCTGTTCCTCCACATCATCCTCTCATTTTCCTTCCTCTCCTTTTCCTCGCTCCTCCTCCTCCTCCTCCTTCTCCTCCTCCCCCTCATCCCCCTCCTTCCCTTCAGCCGGACGGCCGGGATCATGGGGAGGAGAAGGACTATAATGAGCAGGATGCGGAACCGTAGGATGAGGGCGACGATGTCGCAACATCTCGCACGCGTGTGCAGCATGTGTATAGCCAGCCCGTCTTGTCAAACTCATGCGCGCGTGCTGCCCACAACTGCCCTTTCCTAGGCCCCCCCCCCCCTCCCCCTCCCCCTCCGTGACCCAAGATATCTCCGAAAGCGCTGCCGCGGCCTCCATTGACGCGAATGGTACCCTGCCGCGGCAGCGGCCACATACGCCAAGCTGCCCCCCCTAGCAGCTCATTCTACAGCGCTGATGCGCTGCGCGCCCGCCGGCCCTCATGCAACATGCTACGCAGCCACCGTTCGGCCCGTGCCCCTTCAGCAGGTCGCCGCGCTGGCCGCCCACGATGATCAGATCCATCACTTATTCGCTGCCTTGGCCTTGGCCTTCGGAGCAGCTTTCGGAAGCAGCCTCTTAGCCGCGCTCTTGAGCTCCGTGTATTTCTTGTCGAGAATCTCCCATTCTTCCACGGTCTCCTCGAATGCGTCGCTCTGCCCCGACGGATTGTCCCGCACCAGGCTCATGAGTTTCCCGTGCAGCTCGTCGACCTCCCCGTGGTGCTTCTTCAGGTCCTCGCCGATGGCAGTAGTGTATGGGTCCGCCAGCGCGGAGCAGCTCATCTTCTTGGCCTCGCCGGTCTGCTTGATCATGTCGGAGATCTTGGCCTTAGCATTCTCGACGGGGGTCTTCTCCACGATTGCCTTCGGCTGCCTCGGAGGCCTGCTGGCGAGCAGGGGGCCAGATGACGACCTGGTCCTGCTGCCCCCGTCATCGCCAGTCTCCTGCCAGAACTTCTCCGACGCCTTCTCCGACATGCCTGGCACGTTGAGGCGGGCTCCAGAGGAGAAGAGGCCGCCGGGCTTGAGGAGCTTCTTGGCCGCCTGCCCCTTCACCGCGGTCTGGCCTTGGAGGGCCGTCTTCGTGGACCTGGAGGAGTCGAGCGTGAGAGACATCCCCATCTTCATCGCGTAGTATCGCTCCTCCAAGTCGCCTGGGAAGTCCTCGTCATCCTCGTACCACCCTTGCTTGGTCCTTTTCGCCACGAGCTGGTCAAGCTTCTCGGTGGAGTACTTCAGCTTCTCCTCCATGTCGCGGCGCTTCATCCACGTCCACTCCCTCTTCACACTCTCCTTCTCCTCAAGCTCCCTTTTGATGGTCAGCGGAAGCTCGGGCACGCTCTTGTCGCAAGCTAACCATTTGTTGAACAGGTCGTTCTTGTTATTCTCGAACGGGGTGTTCAAGTCGGCTGGCCAGCGTTTGGGGTTGGCCGCGAGGCGCATGAACTGTTTCCACTCGGCCTTCTTGGTTGTAGAGTTCTGGTGGGGTGTGGGTGCTCTGTCGTCTAGGGGCCAGGTGTCGGGGGCACGAGCCTACAGAGTTCGGTGGTGTGATAGGGGGCTAAGAGCGGAAGACGCAGCAGCAACATAAGAGGAAATAAAGAGAGGACGAGGTAACAACTTATTGGTCCATGCATCACCGATGCATCGGCGATGCGTCGGCGACGCATCGGCAATGCACCCTTCGACACCAGCGCGGGGAAACACGGGCTCCACATCGAGCCGCGTCGTCGATGCATCGGCGACGCGGCGCGATCTTCCGACCCCATTTACTCGGAGCCCATCTAGGCCAGACAGAGCATTCTCACCCCCTGCACCTCGAGGCCGGTCGGGAGGGTGATCTGGCTGTCGGCTCCCGCTTCCGCGGCGGCAACGACTCTCGCACAGCTTGCTCTTGCCGTGTCTGAGGTCGCGCGGTGCTTGAGCAACTTGGCCAGCTTGCGCTCGCCCTTGCCGCCCTTGCCCTTCACCTTATCGGGCGAGGAGAACTACGCACATGCACCGATCCTGACAACGCCCATCCTTGACCCAGGATCGGTGCATATACCCTCCTGGCCAAGGTAAGACGGCGTATGCACCGATCCTGGACTCAGGATGGTCCTGGCCAGAATCGGTGCATGTGCTTAGTTCTCTTTCCTCTACCTTACTCGTCTCTGGCTTGGGCCCCTCCAGCTCGGACTCCTCTGGCTCGGGCTCCTCTGCGCCAGGCTCAAGATCAGCAGACGATTCAGCCTGCTTGCCTATGATAGGTTTCCGCCTCAGCGCAGGCTCCTCCTTCTTCGTCTTCTGCTTCGGTGGATCCTTAGAGTCCTCCTTCTTCGGCGTCTTCTTCTGCGGCTCCTCAGTCGGCGTCTTCTTCTGCGGCTCCTCAGTCGGCGTCTTCTTCGGCGGCTCCTCATAATCCTCATCCTCCGCCTTCTGCTTCGGCTTCGCCGACTTGGAGGGCCCAGCAGCATCTTCGCGCGCCCGCTTCGCAGGCTTGCCATCTTTCACGCCGGACGGGGGGTCGTCTTCTCCCCTGGCTTTCTTTGGGGTAGCCTCAGGCGCCGAGCCCTCAGCCGCAGAGCCATGAGCATCACGTTGCAACCGTTGCAGTGCCTTCCGAGCTGTCTTGGACACCTTCTCGTCTGGCATCGAGATCAGCTCCTTCAGGCTGTTTTGGCTCTGGACACCCGCGCGCTTCATGAGCGAAACCACTCCGTGCCCAGAACCCTTCGCAACATCCTTGAGGAGGTTGACAATTCGATTCCGCCCAACCTCATCCATGCGTTGCCCCGCAGACGAGTCAGGCGGAGATGCCGCGGCTGGCATCCCGCTGATTCGGCAGATGCCAAATCTACATTTACATGGATCTTGGTCGGGCCCATCTTGGGACCAGGATTGGCGCGCGCCTCCCTGGCCACGCCAGAAGGGGGCGCGAATCGATCCTGGCCCCCGGATGGGTCTGGCCATGATCAGCGCGAGCGTAGAGTTGGCGTCCTCCGCCTGTAGGGCCCGAGCGCAGCTCAGCCGCAACAGCCCGATGCTGAGAGCCGAATGCGGCTGCCGAGAAAGAGATAAAGGACAGAGTGGGAGTGCGATAGAATGGAAGAGTGGCACAGTGGAGGCCAGTCCAACAGAAACCTTCCACAAGACACCCAACCCTGAGACCCCAGGGCGCCCAGTGATTCTCGGCGCGGCAACGTCCCGCTATCCATGGCAAAAACATTGAAACCTTCTTTCTCCTCCTCCTCCCCCTCCTCCTCCCCCTCCTCATCATGATCAGCATCGTCAAGTTTGTCCCCAAGTAGGCCCCGGCAGGCTATCGGCCACGCGGCGGGGACACACAGCCAGTTGAGTCCGTTCATGCTGTCCGCTATCGCCCCCTCTTGCTTGCCCCTCCTTCCCCCCCCAAAAAAAAAAAGAAAAAGAGGGAGAGAGCGCCGCCAATCCCCTGGGCACACTGCAGCAGACCCGTCCTGGTAATTCGCGGAGGAGCCACACCTGGCGCCGCGCCGCAAGGGGAGTGGTTGGGGGGAGGGGGGGATCGGAATGCGTAAAAGATGTGAGAGGGGGGGCGAGAGGAGGAGAAGGAAGAGTGGGGAGGAAGGATGAGGGGGAGCAGGAGCAGGAGGAGGAGAAGGAGGAGGAGGACGAAGAGGTGCGCGCTCATGCGAGCGGAACATCCGGCTCCGAGTTCCAGACGGGCCCCTGCAGGCACCCAAAGGGCCGAGAGGGATCCAGGAGGATCGACATCAATCGATCGTTCGGTCGATGGATCGACGATCGAACGATTGATTGACGTCGATGCGGCGGCGACAAGACGTAACGCTGCGATGGTGCGATGGCGATGTCGAGATGCAACGGCGATGAGGCGATGAGGCGATGGTACGATGAGGCGATGGCGGCGATGGCGATGTCGAGATGCAATGGCGATGGCACGATGAGGCGATGGCGGCGATGGCGCGATGGCGATGTCGAGATGCAACGGCGATGCGACGATGGACATGGCGGGCGATCTGGAACGATTTTATATATATATATATATATATATATATATATTTCGACGTCGTCCGAAATAGAGGCTGGAACAGCGAGCGTGAATTATGATATCACATGTGTAATGATATCATGCCTACCCTACTCATCCTATACATACGATCGCATGCCTAATTGTCCTACCCACTTGCCTTTTACAAACGAAGCATTCAAGACGAAAGGCGAATCATTGAACACATCCGCAATTCGACATTCCCGATGTACACCAGCACAACAGACTGAAAGGCGAGGGGAGGAATAATAACTTTCAACGGAAGCACGCTGGGGGCAGGAAGGTGAGCACACGAGAAATTTGCATTGAATATGTGCACCGCGGTGCACGCGTGCAAATGTACAGTCGCAGCTGCTAGCTGCCACATTTGCCAGATTCAGATGCCTGGCTGGCGCAACAGCCCGCAGCGCCCTTTGGGCTCGCGGAAATGCAAGCTAAATAGAAGATAGCTAAAAACAATGAGCGCTCAAACGCTCCTTCATTCTCTGCAGCAGCCTTGGAGAGACCGCCACCTTGTCTAACATAAACAACTTCCGTACATACTCTGGCTCGCAATCCGAGCAAATCCAAGTCCCATGAACGGACGCAGGCGCCTTGGCCTGCACCTCTGAAAAATCGGCTGGGTACAGAGAACCTTCCGAAAGGTTCTTCAACCTGTTGCAGCCGTTGCAAGTCGTGTGCGTGACCTTACTGGGGCCATACAGATGCGACAGGTTCCTAGTGTTGGCGATCTTCATGACGAACACAGGGTCCACGTTCGCGTCGCCCGCCCAACGCACTCCCGGCTGGCCGAGTGCACGACCGTGGGGGCGCTTCTCTGGAAAGCAACTCCACATAGGCTTCGGCTCGGAAAAGCGCAGCGTGATGCTGGCGGGGTCCTCGGGCCAGTTGGGACCAGGTGTGATCCGCTACCGCAGTTGAGCGGTAAGCTGTGTGCAGCGTGCATTTGACTATTGAGGATCCTTCAGAAGGATTCTGAAGGATTCAAGGATTCTCAATGGTCTCGCGGACGATTCCCAATTAGTGCCAACGTCACTTAGCCCAACGTCACAATGCCCATGGGCGCGTATAGGCCCGCGTACTTATAGTCACTTAGTGTCCCTTATTACTCACTTAGTGACTCAGCTCCAATTGGGACTAAGTGGCTTGCAAGCCACTTAGCCCCAAGTCCCGACGCATTGGCCCCAACACTCGAAGTGCGGCGGGGAAGCGCGACAGCGCAAAGTGGCCGTTCACTCGTGGCGGGCAGCCCTTGTACGGCAGGGCAAGGGGCGGGACGAACGTTTCCTTCTTGTCATCGTCGTTCTCCTGCGTGTCGTCCTTCTTCTCGACGCCCCTCTCCTCGTGGGCCCTCTCGTTGTCGCCGTTCGACTCCATGTCCATGCTGCGCACAACCTCGCAGCCCTCCTCGACGTGGGGATCAGGCGACCTGGTCGAGCTCGTGGGACTGGGAACGTCGTCGTCATCATCGCCGCTGGTCGTTGACAATGCCTGCATGACCAACCTGTCAGTCTTCCCATTCGCGGTCAGACGGGCCCTCTTCAAGTCTCGGAGCAGTCCACTTGCCGCATGCTGCCGCATCGTGGCCCTCATGGCGTCATCGACATCGCCCCTCACGCACTGGCGCTGCACGCACTGGCCATTCTGCTCGATGTTCTTCACGTGCTGGCCCTTCTGCTCGATGTTGCCGTCCACGCGCTGGCCCTTCTGCTCGAAATTGTCCTTCGCGCACTGGCCCTTCTGCTCGATGTTGCACGTCGCGAGCTGGCCCTTTATGCACTGGCCCTTCTGCTCGATGATGCCATCCACGCACTGGCCCTTCTGCTCGATGTTGTTCACGCACTGGCCCTTCTGCTCGATGTTGCCCGTCGCGAACTGACCCTTCATGCACTGGCCCTTCTGCTCGATGTTGTCCTTCACGCAGTGGCCCTTCTGCTCGATGTTGTCCTTCGCGCACTGGCCCTTCTGCTCGATGTTGCCCGTCCCGCACTGGCCCTTCACGCACTGGCCCTTCTGCTCGACGCTGTCCTCCACGCACTGGCCCTTCTGCTCGATGGTGCCCTTCGCGAACTGGCCCTTCACGCACTGGCCCTTCTGCTCGTTGTTGTCCGTAGCGCACTGGCCTGTCTGCTCGACGTTGTTCTTCGCGCACTGGCCCTTGTGCTCGGCGGTGAAAGCCGCAGCAGCCTCCTGGCGAAACGCGGCGACGCGAGCATCCCGCTTGGCGTGCCAGATGTGAGCCCGCAGCGAAGCAAGAGCGCAATGGGCATCCACCCCGTGGCTCATCAGCTCGGAAGTCGGGGCGACCTCCACTTGGCACAATCAACCCGTCTATAGTAAGGATCTGGGCGGTCCTGGAATAGAACGGGGGGGGCCGCACGGGGATGTTATGGAGCGGGGCGCGGCCGACGGAAGCCGCCATGGATGAACCGAGAACGCAGGGTTGCAACCGTGCCCATGGGAGGGTTGCCCATCCTTGCTATAGTCGGGTTGACTGTGGCCAGTCACCTCGTAGCCAGTCGCCTCGGAAGCCGTCTCGAAGCCACCGGCCGCAGAAGCGGCCTCCATCTCGTAGCCCGCCACCTCGAAAGTTGGGGCGACCGTCGCCTCGCGTAGTCAGCCCGCATAGTAAGGATGCGGGATCAGCACGAAGGGGCCTTGGACGCCCATTTCGAAGCTGTTTGAGCGGGGCGCGGCCAACGGAAGCCACCGAGGACGGACTGAGGAGGCGCGTTTGCAAGGGTACCTTGGAGAAGGTTGCCCGTCTTTGATATGCGGGTTGACTGGCACGTCGCCTCGTAGGCCACCTCGGAGCCGCCGGCCGCGGTAGCGGCCTCCACCTCGCAGCCCGTCGTCTCGGAAGTCAGGAAAGCCTCCGCCTCGCAGCCCGTCACCTCGTAGCCCGTCGCCTCGTAGCCAGTCACCTCGTAGCCCGTCGCCTCGCAGCCAGTCAGCTCCTCGCTCATCGTGCCGTCGTCCACGTCAACGTGCACCAGTTGTGCTGCATCCTCCTCCGCCCACTGTCTCTCCAACTTCTCGCGCTCCCCCCATGCCCTCGCCACGCGTGCAGCGCGGGCGGCAAGCACAGAGAAACTTGCAGGCTCCATGGCGGCGACTGCGAGGGAGGGCTCGGCTGCGAGGCCGACGGAACGGTTGGGCACTTGGCCCAGTGGCAAGCTAAAATAGCATGCACCTCGCGAGCCAAAGCGGCTATATACGGAGCAAAAGGTTCACAGGAGAAATCTAAGAACGATCCATGCAGGAACAATGAGAACCAGAGAATCCAAAGAACAATGCAAGAACAACCAAGGAATCCTATATAACGTATATGGGATACCCATGAGAAATCCATGAACCCCCACAGGAATCAGGAAAACACAAGAAACATCCAGGAAACATCCAGGACATCCAGGACAAATGAAGGAATCCAGAAAATATACAGCTAATCAAGGACAGAGCTTCGGACCACAAACAAAAACAATGAAAAATCAAGGAATCGGATACATACGTGACAAATCCATGAAAAATCAAGCAATCCTTAGAAATCTAAGGAAAATCCAAGAAAAATCCAGGAAATCCAGGAACAATCCAGGAATCACGGGACATCCAGGAAAAATCCAAGAAAAATCCAGGAAATCCAGAAAAAAAATCCAGCAATCTCGGGACATCCAGGAAAAATCAAGGAACAATCCAGGAAATCCAGAGAAAAATCCAGGAATCCCGGGACACCCAGGAAAAATCCAGGAAAAATCCAGGAAATCCAAGAAAAATCAAGGAATCC